TGTTGTTGTTGTTGTTGTTGTTGTTGTTGTTGTCGTTATTTTATGGTTTATTCAATTTATATATCACCCTTTATCAAAAGATCCCAGGGCAGTGTTCAGTATTAAAAACCCATTACAGAAAATCAATGAGAAAAACATAATAAAAACGTACTAAAAAGCATACTGACAGACAGTCCAATAATAAAATAATCATCAACATAACAGTCCTTTGGTGGAATCCCTCCTGCAAATTCTGACAGCCTGGAGTCAGCTCTGGGCGGAACAATGGTCTGGCTTAGTATTAGGCAACTTTCTATGTTTCTTTTTTTATAATTGTTGTTAAATTTTCTGTTTTACAATTTAAAATATTCATTTTAACATACTTAAAATATCAATGACTTCCCTTCTTTTCGTTCCATGGTTCATTTTGCATATTAAAAATACCTGCATATTTTACAAAAACTAAACCATCCAGTATTCCATTATTGCATCCATCAAAATTTATTTACACTGTTGGATTTATCTTAATGCTGTCAATGTTTTCAGGTGCACACTATTATTTCCTATATATTCAATAAACGTTTTCCAATCTTCTTTAAATGTATGTTCTTAACATACTGAATAAGAGAATTGTTAAGTCTGTAAGTTGTGCATATTCTGTCAATTTAAGTTGCCATTCTTCTTTGGTTGGAACCTCACTCGTTTTCCTTTTTTGGGCTAACCAAACCTGGGCTGCAGTTGTAGCATACATAAGTAACCTTTTCTGACACCTGGGAATTTCAATCTGAATTATCCCCAACAGAAAGGACTCTGGGTTTTGGGGGGAAGTACTTTTCCAGCTCGTCCAGGTTCCCCAGGCATCCCGTTAGTCATTTTGGGCAGGGGATTGTGGGTGAGAGGAGCCACTGGCCTGATCCCGGAGATGTTCTCTTTTTGCTCTTACGTTCTCTGCGAACCTCTGCCCTACACACACACCCCTGTTGTCCAGATCTGGTAAGATTTGCTGGTGCCAATCGCAAGAAGTGCGGCTCAGGCAGAGCAAGTCCCCATGTGAACAACAAGTTGCTGGTCCTGATGCTTCTCTAGAACGGAGAGAGAATGTGCTTGAGCCATCGACTAGGACTTGTCGTTGGAGAGTCAGAGAGGTCTTTGTGTGTGTGCTTTTTCTATGGCATCTACTTTCACAAGTACTATCAGTCCCAGAGTTCTTTGTGCAGATGCAGATACAGAGAAAAAACACATAGAACTGATGACGAGGCAAGTCCAGCAAAGGGTATTGTTCTCAGCGATGATTATAGGATTTACAACACAGAATATAGGAGAGTTAATGGAGCCAGCTAGTTTTCTGCTGCTTCTATGATCCTGAGAATAATCTCTACTTCACAAGTATCCTGCAGAACTTACTGAACTATTTCCTTGTGAAATATTGCATCTCAAACAACAACCACCCCAAAACAACTTTTGGAAAAGATTATGAACTTTCTCCTGATCCATTTCATTCTCTCTCTCTCTCTCTCTCTCTCTCTCTCTCTTTTCTATGGCATCTACTTTCACAAGTACTATCAGTCCCAGAGTTCTTTGTGCAGATGCAAAAAACAAAGAAACATAGAACGGATGGGCAATTAGGGGCATGGATCACAATGATGCCTGTAAGATTTACAGATCAAAATATATGCAAGTAAATGGAGGCAGCTTGCTTTCTGCTGCTCCAGAGGATAATGGATTCAAATGACAAGAAGGGAGATTCTTGTCTTGTCTTAAACATTAAGATGAAATTTCTGCCAGTAAGAGGCATTCAGCGGTTGGGTGGTCATCTGTGATTCTGGCATTCCAAGGGGTTGGGCTAGATCAGGCTTCCTCAACCTCGGTCCTCTAGATGTTTTGAGACTACAATTCCCATAATCCCTGACCACTGGTCCTGCTAGCTAGGGATCATGTGAGTTGTAGGCCAAAAACATCTGGAGGGCCAAGGTTGCAGAAGCTTGATGCTTGGGTTCCCTTCCAATGCAACAATTCTATGATCCTGTGAAATAATATCTCATACTGTACTCAAGTATTCTACAAACTCACTAAATAGTTCCATGTGAAATACTGTATCTCAAAGAAAAACATTTTTTGGAAAACATTGCAAACTTTCTCCAGAACCATTTCATTCTCTTTATCTCTTCCAAACACAGGGCAGGTAATTAATAAACAACAATATTTATTTTCCCCCCTGAGAAAGTAAAGCCTAGTTCCTCTGGGATCAAATGAACTACGACAGAGATGCAAGGATGGAAATGTTGCCTCTTTGCAAAGGACTGGAGAGGACCAGGTCCGGGGTGGGCAGGATTCTTGGCTGGCAGAATTTAAGCCAAGAAGCCCCTTCTTCTTTGGGGGTGTCATTTCAAGCAGTCCTCCTCACTCAGGCACCTCTGTGGAAATCATGTTACCCACATCTTTGCAGCTGTTGGGATGGTTTGTTACAAAACCTTGTGGGCAGGAGGGTGTGGGGAGAGGTGCCAACTCTGTCCTGCCCAGCACTTTCGCCATCTTCCTGAGCCTGCTGTGATTCAGCAATCCTGGACAATGCAAGACAGCAGGCAGGCTGGGCAGGGGACTCCACACAGCGTAGAATCATAGAATTTTAGAGTTGGATGGTACCGAAGGGCCATCTAGTCCAACCCCCTACAATGCAGAAATCATAGCTGAAGAATCCTTGACAGATGGCCATCCAAGCTCTACTTGAAAACCTCCTAAGAAGGAGAGTCCTTCTTCTCTTTGGTGATCACTCGTAGCTGAGTAAGATTGTCTTCCATAAATGCTATTTTAACAATGAGACCATAAGTGACTTTGGAGGCCAATTCTGGATCCCCAAGCCCTTCCACAGTGGGGACATTGGTTTCCAGGTGGGAGTTGATCACAGTGTGGATTTGCCAAGCGTGCCTTCCTCTTAGTACATTTCTCCCTTGCATCCTGAGTTTGAGTGTCTTCAAAGCCCAGGACACCTTTGGTCAAGGCCGTTCTCCAACTGGAGCACTCACAGGCCAGTGTTTCCCAATTGTTGGTGTTTATACTACATTTTTTTAGATTTGCCTTGAGACAGTCTTTAAACCTCTTTTGTTGACCACCAGCATTACACTTTCCATTTTTAAGTTTGGAATAGAGCAGTTGCTTTGGAAGACGATCATCAGGCATCCGCACAACATGACCGGTCCAACGAAGTTCATGTTGAAGAATCATTGCTTCCACACTGGTGATCTTTGCTTCTTCCAGTACACTGATATTAGTTTGCCTGTCTTCCCAAGTGATGTGTAAAACTTTTTGGAGACACCGTTAAGGGAATCTTTCAAGGAGTTGGAGATGGCGTTTATAAGTGGTCCATGTCTCACAAGCAAGTAAGGAACTGCCTCGTTCCTTGAGACTGAATCTGTATCCACCGCCCATGTCCCTGTTCATGACTTTTTTGTTATTGTTCTAGGACCTTTCATGGTATTGATGTCAACTCACCAGTTAGTAGTTCCCTGAGTCTTCTTTTTTTGCCTTTTTGAGGATGGGGAGAACATTTGCCTGCCTCCAGTCTGTAGGGACCTCATCTGTTCTCCAAGAATTCTCAGAGACGATAGACAAAGGCTCTGAGATTAGACTCAAAAGTTCCTTTAGTACCCTTGGATGCAGCTCATCAGGCCCTGGAGTTTTGAATTCATTTAAAGTAGCTAGGTGTTCCCTCACCACCTCTTTTCCTATCCTGGGCTGCAGCTCCCTCCTTACATCATTTATTTGGTTCTCACCAGGTTGAATAACACCTTCCTTTTGGGTAAAAACAGAGGCAAAGTAAATGTTGAGCCGTTCCGCTTTCTATCTGTCACCCAATAGCATTTCTCCATCTTCTCCACACAGAGGACCTACTGTTCTTCCTCTCGCTTCAGAAGTAGCTGGAGTAACCTTTTTTATTACTTGACCAACCATGAAGTCTCTCTCTCTCTCTTACACACACACACACACACACACACACAGAGAGAGAGACCTTAGCGTTAATGGAAGGTAATTAATAAATACTTTGGCCACCTCATGAGAAGAGAGGACTCCCTGGAAAAGACCCTGATGCTGGGTAAGATGGAGGGAAAAGGAGAAGGGGACGACAGAGGAAGAGATGGTTGGACAGTGTTCTCTAATTACCAGCATGAGTTTGACCAAACTGCGGGAGGCAGTGGAAGACAGGAGGGCCTCGTGTGTTCTGGTCCATGGGGTCACAAAGAGGCGGACACGACTAAACGACTAAACAACAACAACAATTAATAAACAACAAAAATAATTCTATCGCTTCTGAGAAAGCAAAGTCTGGTTCCTCTGGAATCCAATAAATTATGTTACAGGTGCAAAGGTGGGAATCTTATCTCTGTGCAAAGCAGGGGAGAGAGTCAGGTCAGGGGTGTGCAGGACCCTTGGCTGTCACCACCTGGCTCACTACTTTGGGATGGAGGAACATCTTCCATTTGCAACTTGAGCCAGTTCAGAGAGAAACAGCACTTCAATGAGAGAGGAAGACACCCAAAGGGATTTTGGAGAGGACGGAGGGTCTCTGCCACCAGAGCTCCACCATGGGTGTAGCCAAGGGTGCGCAGGTGGGCAGTTGCCCCCCACAAATAAATACAAATCAATGCAAAATAACCAACTGAAGTTCTACAAACACCTAACATAAATCCTGGCTATGCCCATGGGCTCCACCATCCCTTTCTCTCTGCTGATAGTACAGCTGGGAACCCAATGGAAGGGCATCCTACTTTGCCCAATCTAAGCCAAGAAGCCCCTTCTTCCTTGGGGAGGGAGGTGTCATTTCAAGCAATCCATCTTCTGTGGAAAGGTTATCTACATCTTTGCAGCTGTTGGGATGGTTTGTTACAAAACCTTGTGGGCAGGAGGGTGTGGGGAGAGGTGCCACTCTATCCTGCCCAGCACTTTCGCCATCTTCCTGGGCCGGCTGTGACTCTGCATTTCTGGGCAATATAAGGGAGCAGGCTGGCTGGGCAGGGGACACCCCACTTAGCCTGACCAACCATGAAGTCTGGTGCCCTCGTGCTCCTTGTGGGGCTGCTCGCCCTCTGGATTGAGCCAACATCCACCTCCGATGAGCAACATCTAGGTAAGAAATTGCTTCTCCTCTCCCCTGCCAGATCCATTCATGAAAACATTTCTCTGGATATCATTTTTTTGTTGTTCAGAAAAGTGCAGGCAACCAAATGCTACAAGAAGCTGGGGAAGCTCAGGGGAAGAGCACATGAATTTCATGCAGAAGGTGCCCAGTTAATCCCCACTGGCATTTCCAGGTCAGGCTGGGAGAGAAACTTCCCAAAGAGCCTCTGCCAGTCAGTTTGCAGAATATGAGTTGGAGATGCCTTCTGATGACTTTATTGAGTTTTCATCCTGATTACTTGCAGGTAGCTAGGGCAGCTTCTGGAAACTGCAGGGGAGGAAAGGGCTCATGTGCTTAGATCCTGCTTGTGGGAATCTCAGTGAGGCCACTGTGAAAATAATAATAATAATAATAATAATAATAATAATAATAATAATAATTTATTTATATCCCGCCCAGCCACTGGTTTCCCCAGCCACTCTGGGCGGCTTCCAACACAATATTAAAATACAGTAATGCATCAAACATTAAAAGCTTCCCTAAACAGGGCTGCCTTCAGATGTCTTCTAAAAGTCTGGTAGTTGTTTTTCTCTTTGACATCTGGTGGGAGGGCGTTCCACAGGGCAGGTGCCACTACTGAGAAGGCCCTCTGCCTGCTTCCCTGTAACTTGGCTTCTCTTAGACAGGGAACCACCAGAAGACCCTCGGAACTGGACCTCAGTGTCCAGGCTGAACAATGGGGGTGGAGACGCTCCTTCAGGTATACTGGGCTGAGGCTGTTTAGGGCTTTAAAGGTCAGCACCAACACTTTGAATTGTGCTTGGAAACGTACTGGGAGCCAATGAAGATCTTTCAAGACCAGTGTTATGTAGTCTCAGTGGCTGCTCCCAGTCACCAGTCTAGCTGCCACATTCTGGATTAGTTGTAGTTTCTGGGTCACCTTCAAAGGTAGCCCCACATAGAGCGCATTGCAGTAGTCCAAGCGGGAGATAACCAGAGCATGCACCACTCTGGCAAGACAGTCCGCGGGCAGGGAGGGTCTCAGCCTGCATACTAGATGGAGCTGGTAAACAGCTGCCCTGGACACAGAATTGACCTGCACCTCCATGGACATCTGTGAGTCCAAAATGACTCCCAGGCTGCGCACCTAGTCCTTCAGGGGCACAGTGACCCCATTCAGGACCAGGGAGTCCCCCACACCTGCCCGCCTTTCCCCCCAAAACAGTACTTCTGTCTTGTCAGGATTCAACCTCAATCCATTAGCCGCCATCCATCCTCCAACTGCCTCCAGACACTCACGCAGGACCTTCACCGCCTTCACTGGTTCCGATTTGAAAGAGAGGTAGAAGAGGATGCTGGACCAGGTTGTCCATTGGCCTGATCCAGCAGGTTCTTCTGATGTTCTTATGGGGTGGGTGGGTGATCAGGAAAAGCCAGAGGTCCTGGTCTTGAGAAGGGTGAGGGAGCAGAGCCCATTATGGAGGGACTTAGCAGGTCCACCCATTGGCTTTCCTGGGCAAAGGTAAAGCTGGACACTTGCCTCTGCAGGTAGGGCAGAAGGAAAAGACCTCACAAAATACTATCATTGCTGAATTGGAAGAGTGCCCAAAGGCTCATGTAGTCCAACCCTCAATCTCCCCCTTACCATCTCTTTTTTTTCCAGTGCACCCTGGTGATTGCCCCCCTGTGCTACAGGTATCAGTCTTTGCCCGCTGCAAGGACACCTGCCAAGATGATCAAGACTGTCTCTTCACCCAGAAGTGCTGCTTCACTGGGCGCGGCATGGGCTGCGTAGACTCAGGTACTGGCAAAATCCCTGACCCCTTTGTCCCTGCCCACCCCCCACACCTCTCCTCTCTGGGCAACAGATGGGGGCAGCAGCCGCAATGCCAACCTAAGTGCCCTGGGGACTGAGAAGCTCCCCTCATGGACACCCATCTGTTCTGCCTCCAACAGTTCTGAGCTACAAGTGCTTCTTCCCGTCCGATTATGGAGCATGCAATGAATCCATCTCCCATTACTACTACGACCCATTTGTGGACCAGTGCCTCCAATTCAACTACAGTGGCTGTGGGGGCAACGACAACAACTTCGAGACAGCAGAGGCCTGTGAGGAAGCCTGCAGCAAAAGCATCTCAGGTACTGAGTGTGGGACCCACCAGGCGGTCATTTTTCTGGCTTCATTGATTCTGCTTATACTCTACCTTTTCCTCTGTGCAGCTCAAGGTGGCATATGTGGTTCTTCCCCTTTCTCATTTAATCTCCACAACAACCCTGTGAGGTAGGCTAGGCTGAGAGGAAGCCACTGGCCCAAGGTCATCCAGTGAGCCTCATGGCCAAGTCGGGATTTGAACCCAGGTCTCTCCCAGGTCTTAGTTCAACACTCTGACCACCAGGCAATGCACGAGAGCCCCTCTGGAAAGTCCAGCCACACCATGGCAATAGGGCAAGTGGAAGAAGCTGGCCAGAAGGGGTCCAGGATTAGGTATTCTGCTCTTTTCTTGACAATCTGTGTGTCTTTACTAAAGGCTTTATATGACATATGATGGAGGAGATGTAGCAACTCCACTAGGAGAAGAGGTAGAAGCATCTGGGACCTTCGTGGTCAGAGGCTGGATATCCTCCTGAATACCAGTTGCTCCACTGGTCACAGGAGAGGGCTCCTCTTGTGCTCAGATCCTGGCCTGATCCAGAGGCTTCTCTTCTGTTCTTCTTAATATTATTACTTTGTGCCATATTCTTTGTACGGATGTTTGTGAATGTAGTGTTTTGAAATCACAGGATAAGAGATGGTATCCGAAATAGGATGCTAAAACTTTGGATTCAAAATCCAACAGTGGAGGAGCCTTGTAAGAATGCAGGTTGCCTTAGAAATTCTGACACCCCGATTCCAAATTTATTCTCAGAATAGGACATGACAGTTTGGCAGCTGCAGTGTATTTGACACATTGCCTTGCAAATCCCCAGAATAAGGAGGATTTGTACATTACCTTCACATTTAGTAATAAGAAAAACAGCCTTTGCAATGGGCTGACTCCTATCCTGTACCCAAAACGGTGTCAGTGTATATATCCATTTCCTGATCTGCATCATTCTGTTTTGAAGATGAGGTTTAGGGCAATTGGTGTGTTTTTGCTGACCTCGGAAGGAGGGTTTGGAGTCAGAGCCTTTGGGAAAGGGCTGAGAGGCAAGAGGGCTGCAAAGATTTGAACCAGCAGCCACACGCAGGTCCCCAAGTTCAGTTCCTGAGCTGGACTGGACCAAATAGCACAGAATTCCTCTCTGCCTGGAAGGAGAAGGGTCTGTGATTCCTTCCCCCTTTATGAAGGGCTCTGCATTATTCCTATGAATGCAAGAACATGAAGTTGGAATTAAAAACTCTAGCGCCTTTCCTGCCGTAAAAATGTTGCAGATATTAAATATTGCACAGTTTGAAGAGACTGAAAGCATTAGAAGAAATTCCTTCAGAAATGAAACATTGTCTAGGCCCATAGAAATATTATTCAAACTTTACTTGCAGAACTTTCTTTGAAACAGAATCATATCTGCACAATGTCTTGCACAGGTTAAGCATCTTACAAAACTAAGCCTTACAAGGAGCGGATTAAGGAGCTGGGTATGTTTAGCCTGGAAAAGAGGAGACTGAGAGAAGATAGGATTAAATTTTATTATTACAGACTCGAACCAAAGTCTTTAAGTTACATTGAAATATACTTGGAGCCACGTAGTGATTTCATGCTCTTTATTGCAGGCCAAAAAACAGTGAATGAATTTTCCCCAAACCTCAGGCTTTATATACATTATTTACACAATGTGTCCCATCTGATTGGTTGATTATGTTTCTCTCCTGGAGCCTGATTGGACTGCTGCTGCTGCTGCAGGCCAATCAGTTGTTGTATCCTAGTATCTTACCACCCTAATAGGCTGATTAACTTCCTCCTGGGGTCTGATTGGGCGGCTCCTGCAGGCCAATGAGGTTGTTGCATTCTAGGATCCTACCTGCCTATTGCTCAAGGATCCAGGCTTAGTACATAACATACAAGAAAGGGATTTCCAACTAAGCAACAGGAAGAACTTTCTGACATTAAGAGCTGTTTGTCAGTGGAGCCGTCTCCCTTGGAAGGTTGTGGACTTTCCTTCCTTGGAGGTTTAAAAGCAGAGTTTGGCTGTCTGTCTGTGAGGAATGTGATTCCTGGATTGCAGGGGGTTGAGCTAGATGACCCCTGAGGGTCCCTTTCAACTCTACAATTGTATGATTCTGTCAGTACTTCTGTCTGCCCTAAGGGCCAAATGCTCAATCACTTGGCTGCCTCCCTTTCCCCCTTGTGACTCTTTCTCTTTTCTTGTTTTGCTGCTATATTCTTGGCTGGTGTCTTTGTTTGACAATCCAAGTGATCCCAGAAGATGCTCCTACAGCACTTCCCACTGAAAACCCCATTGAGGAGGACCGAGTTCCTGAACCTGATTACCATGAGTGAGAAATTCCCAGCCTCAGGAACAGACATCAGTATGTGGCCATGCTCCCTCCTTCCATCTCTGGAGAAGCTGCTGGAATCCTCTACCCTCAAATAAAACATGAGTTTACTTGCATCTGCTGAGTCTGGCTTTTGTGTTGCATGAGATCAGGTGTCAAGATCCACTGCTGCCCCAGAGGGCGAAAAACATCTCTCAAAGCCTCTGAGCTGCTGCGCTGCTGAGATTTGAGTCTGGGGCGTGGAAGGGAATTATTATTATTATTATTATTATTATTATTATTATTATTATTATTATTTTATTTATATCCCGCCCTCCCCAGCCGAAGCCGGGCTCAGAGCGGCTAACAACAATAAAAGTAACACAACATTCTAAAATCAATTCATTTTAAAATCATTTCAAAATCAAATTAATGGCAACCATTGGGCTAGAGTTCTGTGAGGATTACCAAAGGAAGGGGTCAGACTGTGCGTTGGCCAAAGTCCTGGTGGAAAAGCTCCGTCTTGCAGTCCCTGCGGAAAGATGTCAAGTCCCACAGGGCCCTGGTCTCTGGTGACAGAGATCTCCAAGATGTTTTTGTTTGAAGACTGTAAGGTCCTCTGCAGGACATACCAGGAGAGGCGGTCCCGTAGGTACGAGGGTCCTAGGTTGTATAGGGCTTTAAAGGTTAAAACGAGCACCTTAAACCTGATCCTGTACTCCACCAGTGTAGCTGGTAAAGCACTGGATAAATGTGATCCCACGGCAAGGACCCCATAAGGAGCCTCGCCATGGAATTCTGCATCCACTGGAGTTTCTGGGTCAGTCCCAAGGGCACAACCACATACCTGAACTTTAGGTTTGCACGCTTAAACTGGATTAATTGGCTCTGTGACCTTAGCACAAGGACTCCACTTTAAAAGAGAATCAGATTTTTGCAGTTTGAGAAGTAACAGGGAAAGGCATTGAATAATGATGGATGGGTGAAGGAAAATGGGAGTATGTGCAAACACCCCACAGTCAAATCAGGACATCTCTTCCTTGTCTTCTGATTCCGACCAGAGGCAGATGTCAGTTCAGCCCAGAGGGCGAGGAGCCCCAGAAGGAGCACAGGGGCCCCAGACTTCATGGTGGGTCAGGCTAAGCGGAGTGTTCACTGTCCAGCCAGTCTGCTGCCTTGCATTGTCCAGGATTGCTGAATCACAGCTGGCTCAGGAAGATGGCGAAAGTGCTGGGCAGGACAGAGTGGCACCTCTCCCCACACCCTCCTGCCCACAAGGTTTTGTAACAAACCATCCCAACAGCTGCAAAGATGTAGATAACATTTCCACAGAAGATGGGTTGCTTGAAATGACACCGCCCTCCCCAAGGAAGAAGGGGCTTCTTGGCTTACGTTCTGCAAGCCAGGATGCCTTTCCATGGGGTCCCCAGCTGTACCATCAGCAGAGAGAAAGGGATGGTGGAGCCCATGGGCGGAGCCTGTGTACCTCTGAAGTGGCTGGACTAGGGGAAATTGAAGTTGCTTGAAATGACACACCCTCCCCAAGGAAGAAGGTGCTTCTTGGCTTAGATTCTGCAAGCCAGGATGCCTTTCCCTGAGGTTCCCAGCCATCAGCAGAGAGAAAGGGGTGGTGGCGCTCTGGTTAGAGAGACCCTCCTTCCTCCACAAAGCCCCTTTCTGGATCTCCCTCTCTGGGGTTTGTGAGACTCAGACCTGGCTGGACCAAGGCATGTTGTACTTGCCAGTGGAAGATGCTCCTCCATTCCAAAGGAGTGGGCCAAGGGAGCCAAGGATCCTGCCCACCCCCGACCTGGCCCTCTCCAGTGCTTTGCCCAGAGGCAGCCTTTCCACCCTGGCATGTGCAGGGGTGCCAAGTGGAACGAGCTCCGCCCTGGATAATCCATCACGTGGCACGGGGCATGCACACCATCTGAATGCCAATGCCCATCGACTGCGGAGGGGGGCATTCAAATATTTGGCTCCTATATCCATCATTAACATGATTTATTTGATCGCAGGGAAGTCAGACTTTCCTTTATCAATTACATTCTCATACATGTTTATTAATTACATTCTCTTAACTCTAAGGTCCCAGTGTGTTGTTTGTGTGGTGTGTGTGTGTGTGTGTGAGAGAGAGAGAGAGAGAGAGAGAGAGAGAGAGAGAGAGAGAGAAAGAGAGAGAGAATGAAATGAATCTGGAGAAAGTTCATGCAGCTCTTACCAGTAGAAAGTTTTTCCAGTGTTTTTTCTGAAGCAGCAAAATGCAATTTCCTTGCATATATTCTTAGCCTTATATTCTGAGCTTTCACATAGAATCATAGAATCATAGAGTTGAAAGAGACCACAAGGGCCATCGAGTCCAACCCCCTGCCAAGCAGGAAACACCATCAGAGCACTCCTGACATATGGTTGTCAAGCCTCTGCTTAAAGACCTCCAAAGAAGGAGACTCCACCACACTCCTTGGCAGCAAATTCCACTGTCGAACAGCTCTTACTGTCAGGAAGTTCTTCCTAATGTTTAGGTGGAATCTTCTTTCTTGTAGTTTGGATCCATTGCTCCGTGTCCGCTTCTCTGGAGCAGCAGAAAACAACCTTTCTCCCTCCTCTATGTGACATCCTTTTATATATTTGAACATGGCTATCATATCACCCCTTAACCTCCTCTTCTCCAGGCTAAACATGCCCAGCTCTCTTAGCCGTTCCTCATAAGGCATCGTTTCCAGGCCTTTGACCATTTTGGTTGCCCTCCTCTGGACACGTTCCAGTTTGTCAGTGTCCTTCTTGAACTGTGGTGCCCAGAACTGGACACAGTATTCCAGGTGAGGTCTGACCAGAGCAGAATACAGTGGCACTATTACTTCCCTTGATCTAGATGCTATACTCCTATTGATGCAGCCCAGAATTGCATTGGCTTTTTTAGCTGCCGCGTCACACTGTTGGCTCATGTCAAGTTTGTGGTCAACCAAGACTCCTAGATCCTTTTCACATGTACTGCTCTCAAGCCAGGTGTCCCCCATCTTGTATTTGTGCCTCTCATTTTTTTTGCCCATGATTTGTATGTCTCTCGGGGCATACATGATTTGTATGTCTCTCGGGGCATACATGATTTGTATGTCTCTCGGGGCACGTTCTTGGGGTTGCTATAGCAGGTTCCCCCCTGGTGGCGGATTGTTGAAAAACAATATGAAGCTGGATGGGGAGCGTGCTGTGTGTGCTCCAAATTTGGAACTGATTTTTGTATTTAGTATTTAGTATTTAGGAATGCAGGAGGAAGAGAGCACAAAGGCTGGAGAAATAATAATAAATAACTCTTTCATTGTGAGCTCCTTTGGGGATAAGAAAAGTGGCCAATACCTCTTTCGACAGTAGTGGTTCCCAAAGCATACCTGAATGTAATGGGTTTAGGGGTTGCTCGTGCGTAAGTTGCCGCCACTCCTGGCTAGGTTACCTGGTTGAACCCTTTCTGATTGAACAGCCTCTAGCATCGTGACTGTCTCAGTCGCTGGCAGAATCCGTCAGTGGGCGTTTCTTGAACTTCTTCCAGCACAAAAGTTCTTTGCAGCCTAGTCTCCGCCTAGTCTCCCTGCGCGGAAGCCTTCTGCGCAGGGAGCGTGTGGGCAGCGGAGGACCCGTACTCTCTCCGCTGGTCTCCGGTGAGGAGTCTTGGAGCCTCCTCTCCGATTCCCCCATCGGCCCCCCTTCTCCACTGGTGTTACGCTGATTTCCTTCCCCAGCAAATGGGCTGCCCCTCTCCCTACTGGGACCCTCTCCGGCATCCCTCTGGAGCCTTCCCTCCACCTCTAGCTCCGATGGCAGTTCCCTGACACTGAAGGAGCGTATCCACCTCCATTGTTCAGCCTGGACACTGAGGTCCAGCGCCGAGAGCCTCCTGGTGGTTCTCTCATTGCGAGAAGCAAAGCTACAGGGAACCAGGCAGAGGGCCTTCTCGGTGGTGGCACCCGCCATGTGGAACACCCTCCCACTTTCTGGAGAAAGTTCATGCAGCTCTTACCAGTAGAAAGTTTTTCCAGTGTTTAGTTGGAATCTGGTCCTATCTTCTGAAGCAGAAAAAAGCAATTTCCTGCATATATTCTAAGCCTTATATACTGAGCTTTCACATGATTTGTATGTCTCTTGGGGCACGTTCTTGGGGTTGCTATAGCAGGGTTCCGGTGGTGGATACTTGAATAACAATATGCAGCTGGATGGGGAGTGTGTTGTGTGTGCTCCAAATTTGGAACTGATTTTAGTATTTCTCCAAGAATGCAGGCAGAAGAGAGCACAAGGGCTGGGGAAATAATAAAGGGATGCTGCAGGAACTGCTGCCAAAGTCTTTAAGCGGCTGCTGTGAGGCCGAGGTCACCTTCCTGGGCTTGGTGGTCGTGCATAAGCCAATAGGATAGCCAAGGCTGCTCCAAGTGTTTCTATATTTCATAGAATCATAGAATCATAGAGTTGGAAGAGACCACAAGGGCCATCGAGTCCAACCCCCTGCCAAGCAGGAAACACCATCAGAGCACTCCTGACATATGGTTGTCAAGCCTCTGCTTAAAGACCTCCAAAGAAGGAGACTCCACCACACTCCTTGGCAGCAAATTCCACTGTCGAACAGCTCTTACTGTCAGGAAGTTCTTCCTAATGTTTAGGTGGAATCTTCTTTCTTGTAGTTTGGATCCATTGCTCCGTGTCCGCTTCTCTGGAGCAGCAGAAAACAACCTTTCTCCCTCCTCTATAGGACATCCTTTTATATATTTGAACATGGCTATCATATCACCCCTTAACCTCCTCTTCTCCAGGCTAAACATGCCCAGCTCTCTTAGCCGTTCCTCATAAGGCATCGTTTCCAGGCCTTTGACCATTTTGGTTGCCCTCCTCTGGACACATTCCAGTTTGTCAATGTCCTTCTTGAACTGTGGTGCCCAGAACTGGACACAGTACTCCAGGTGAGGTCTGACCAGAGCAGAATACAGTGGCACTATTACTTCCCTTGATCTAGATGCTATGCTCCTATTGATGCAGCCCAGAATTGCATTGGCTTTTTAGCTGCCGCGTCACACTGTTGGCTCATGTCAAGTTTGTGGTCAACCAAGACTCCTAGCTCCTTTTCCCCTGTCCTGCCCTCACGCTAGGTGTCACCCAACTTGTATTTGTGCCTCTCATATTTTTTGCCCAACTGCAATACTGTACAGTTCTCCCTGTTAAAATTCATCTTGTTTATTTTGGCCCAGTTCTCTAATCTGTCAAGGTCGTTTTGAAGTGTGAGCCTGTCCTCTGGGGTGTTAGCCACCCTCCCAGTTTGGTGTCATCTGCAAATTTGATCAGGATGCCCTTGAGTCCATCATCCAAGTCGTTGATAAAGATGTTGAATAAGACCGGGCCCAAGACAGAACCCTGTGGCACCCCACTAGTCACTCTTCTCCAGGATGAAGAGGAACCATTGATGAGCACCCTTTGGGTTCGGTCAGTCAGCCAGTTACAAATCCACTGAGTGGTAGCATAGTCAAGACCACATTTTACCAGCTTCTTTACAAGAATATCATGGGGCACCTTGTCAAATGCCCTGCTGAAATCAAGGTAGGCTACATCCACTGCGTTCCCTTCATCTACCAGGCTTGTCATTCTGTCAAAAAACGAGATCAGGTTAGTCTGACATGACTTATTTTTCAGAAATCCATGCTGACTATTGGTGATCACAGCATTCCTTTCTAGGTGCTCACAGACTGTTTGCTTAATGATCTGCTCCAGAATCTTCCCTGGTATTGATGTCAGACTGACTGGGCGGTAATTATTTGGGTCCTCTCTTTTCCCCTTTTTGAAAATAGGGACAACATTTGCCCTCCTCCAGTCTGCCGGGACTTCGCCTGTTCTCCAGGAATTCTCAAAGATGACTGCCAGTGGTTCTGAGATCACATCTGCCAGTTCTTTTAATACTCTTGGATGCAGTTCATCTGGCCCTGAAGACTTGAATACATCTAAACTAGCCAAGTATTCTTGTACTATCTCCTTAGTTATTCTGGGCTGTGTTTCCTCTGCTGAATCATTTGCTTCAAATTCTTCAGGTCGGGCATTGTTTTCTTTATCGGAGAAGACTGAGGCAAAGGCGGCATTGAGGAGTTCAGCTCTTTCTGTGTCCCCTGTTTGCATTTCACCATCTTCTCCTCTGAGTGACCCCACTGTTTCTTTGTTCTTCCTTTTGCTACGGACATACCCTTAAAAGCCTTTTTGTTGCTTTTAACCTCTCTAGCAAGCCTGAGTTCATTCTGTGCTTTAGCTTTTCTGACTTTGTGTCTACACGTGCTGGCTATTTGTTTGAATTCCTCTTTGGTGGTTTCCCCCTTTTCCATTTTTGTACACATCCTTTTTAATCTTAACTCAGTTAAAAGTTCTTTAGATAGCCACCCTGGCTTCTTTAGGCACCTTCCATGTTTCCGTCTCATTGGTATTGCCTGACGTTGTGCTTTTAGTATCTTCCTCTCAACAAACTCCCAGCCATCATGAACTCCCTTTCCTTTTAGTATTACTGTCCATGGGATCCCACCCAGCACTTCCCTAAGTTTTATGAAGTCGGCTTTCATGCATTTTAACTCTTTCATTGTGAGCTCCTTTGGGGATAAGAAAAGTGGCCAATACTTCTTTCGACGGCAGTGGTTCCCAAAGCATACCTGAAGGAGCGTCTCCACCCCCATTTTTCAGCCCGGACACTGAGGTCCAGCTCCAAGGGCCTTCTGGCAGTTCCCTCACTGAGAGAAGTGAGGTTACAGGGAACCAGACAGAGGGCCTTCTGGGTAGTGGCACCCACCCTGTGGAATGCCCTCCCCTCAGACGTCAAGGAAATAAACAAATATCTAAAGACATCTGAAGGCAGCCCTGTTTAGGGTAGTTTTTAATGTCTGATGTTTTATTGTGTTTTGAATATTCTGTTGGAGCCGCCAAGAGTGGCTGGGGAAACCCAGCCAGATGGGCAGGGTATAAATTATTATTATTATTATTATTATTATTATTATTATTAGTGCATGGCAGCGCCCCCTCGTGGGGAATTAGCTGGGGGTGGCAGGGGACGCTGGAGGTGCAAATGACTATCAAACCTTGAAAAGCTGGCATCCTTGGATCAGGTTCATCAGTTTGGCTGATTTACTTAATTTATATAGTTTGAACAAAGGCACAATTACTTGTGCAACCTGAAAATTGCCACTATCCCTTCCTTTCGTTATTATCTTTTGTCTTCCCATTCTTTTCCCCATTCATAAAATAGCTGACCCATCAGGAGCTGTTATTTGCTCAGCCATCTGGTTACTCGCCCAATCAGAAGCACCATAGCTAACCCTAACAGGCTACGCGGGTACTGCAGGTGTCAGTGAAAAGTGTGAGCAAGCAATCGAAACCGGCTTCAGACTGGTATTTACACTTCCTTTTGTTTTACTTCAGAACAAGAATGCAGGCTATTTAGAGTGACAGGGCATCAGGTTTCTGCACAGACGTCACTCCTGTTCCATGACATGTTTATGACATATGTGTGATGTTTCCAACAAGGTGTTGTGGGTAACTTTGAGAAACCTCTTAAAGCGGGAGCACCCATTTTGGGAGGTTTCTCTCTGCTTCCTTTACATTGTAGTTTGAGGTTTTGGTTCAACAATAAAGATCAGGCCTCCTGGCTGCTGTTTTCTTTCAATATCTTGGCCGAAGCCTTTTCTCTGATGATCCAACTCGAGCCTGCTCTGAATACTCTAAGGGGAAACTGGGGATGAGTTTATGGAACCAAGGGGGCAGTGACCAAAAAAGGTTTGAGAACCACAGATTATCCTCTTCCCTTCCAGGCCCCAGGCCCAAATCTCCCCAGCCCAGCAGCTGAGGGGCTTTGAGAGATGCTTTCCCCCCACTGGGGCAGCAGTGGATGTGGGGCTCCTCTTGAGGCCTCATGTCATGTGATGCAAGAACCAGACTCAGCACATGCCAGAAAGCTCAGGTTTTATTTGGGGATAGATGATCCCACAGCAGCCTCCCCAGAGATGGAAGGAGGGGGGCAAGGCAACACACTGATGTCTGCTCTGGGGCTGGGGTCTTCTCAGACAAGGTGATCACACTGAGGGACTCAGTCCTCCGTAATGGAGTTTCCTGTGGGTGGAAAAGAGAAAGAGTCACAGGGGCAAAGGGAGGCAGCCAAGTCATTGAACACCTTGCCCTTAGGGCAGGCAGCAGCTCCGACAGAATCATACAATTGTAGAGATGAAAGGGACCCACAAGTGTCCTCTAGCCCAACCCCAGCAATGCAGGAATCACATTCCTGATGGACAGCCAGCCAAACCCTGCTTATAAACCTCTAAAGAAGGAGATTTCACCACCTCCCAAGGGAGACCATTTCACTGTTGAAAAGCTCTCACTGCCAGAAGTCAGAACCTCCTTTCTTGTTACTTGAAGCCATTGGTAAACTCACCCATGGGTAGGGCAGGATGAGGCCAGCAGGGCAGCCAAGAGAGAACCCTGTGGACCTCCACAGTCTGCCCCCTGCCCTCCACATGCACACTTATAAATATTTAGAGACAGAGATAGATAGAGAGACAGAGAAGCGCAGACACAGATTGAGACAAGAATCTTACTTGTTTGCCCACAGACCATCATGCACTCTAGCATGGTGCGAAACCGATTGCCATTCCCCCCGCAGAGCCCATAGACGAATATCTCGCACTTCCTGGTGGCTGAGTTGTAGTAGTAAAATTGTGAATAACCCAGACATGGGCCAGGGTTCTTTGGCAGCTTGCAGACCTCTGAGGCCACAGAAGGTGGAGAAAGAGGAAGCAGAGAGGTTTTCTTAGGGCAGGAAGGTGTCAAGAGTTTTTAATTCCAACTTTATGTATGTTCCCTGCATGCATTCCTCCATAAGAGGCCCCCCCCCACCAGAGGGAAGGAATCACAGACCCTTCTCCTTCCAGGCAGAGAGGAATTGCACCTGGGCTCTTTGGGCCAGTCCAGCTCAGGGACTGAATTTGGGGACCTCCTTGTGGCTGCTGGCTCAAATCTTTGCAGCCCTCTCGCCTCTCAACCCTTTGCCAAATGCTCCAACCCCAACCCCTCCTCCCAAGAGCTGCAAAAACATATGATTTTGGGCACAGACTAGGAGTCACAGACTAGGAGTCACCCTATGGCAAAGGTTGCTTATCACCAAACAAGGAGCTAATACACGACTTCTCCTTATTCTGGGGATTTGCAAGGAGTGTCGTCTGGGGGTTTGCAAGGAGAGTCTCTTTTAATGACTCCTGATGGCAACACGTCAAATACACCGCAGCTGCCAAACTGTCATTTCCACCTCCTAGAGAAGGACTTTGAAATTGGGGTGTCAGAATTTCTAAGGCCACCTTGATTCTTACAAGGCTCCCCACCGTTGGATTTTGAATCTATAGTTTTAGCATCCTATTTCAGATACCATCTCTTATCTTGAAATTTCAAATTGCCCCAATCACAAATGTCCCTACAAAGATTATGGCACAAAGTAATAATATTAAGAAGAACATAAGGTTCTGGATCATGCCAATGGCCCATCTGGTCCAGCATCCTGTTTTCACAGGGCCAGCCAGATGCTTTGGGGGAGCCCAAGAGCAGCCCTCTCCCTTCCTGTGGCTTCCAACACCCATATCCAGCCTCTATCCATGAAGGCAGAGCACAGCTAAGAAATCCCAACCGCTCCATCCCCTCAATTATATGAAATAAAGTCCAGAACAGAGCAGTGTACCCAATCCTCCCAGAACTCTGGACCCCTTCTGGCCAGCTAGTTGGATGGGGTTGCCCGCCTTCCCAGAGGGGCTCTACTGCCCTGCCTGGGGGTCAGAGTGTTGAACTAGGACCTGAGAGAGATGCGGGTTCACTCAGCCATGAAGCTCACCTTGGGCCAGTGGCTTCCTTGAGCTTAGCCTACCTCACGGGGTTATTGTTGGGGTTAAATGAAGAAGGGGAAGTTCAGCTCCTTGGAGGACAAGGGGATATATAAACACAATCAATGAAGCCATGAATATGAATTTCTGGTGGGTCCCAAACTTGGTACCTGGGCTGATTTTCCCGCAGGCTGCCTCACATGCCTCTTTTGTCTCAAAGTTGTTGCTGTTACCCTCACAGCCACCATAGGTGAACAGGACGCACTTCTTCTGCGATGGGTTGTAGTAGTAACGGCGGAAGGCTGCTAAACATCGTCCAGTTTTGGGCGGCAACTGGCACCTGTCACTGCGAACTGTTGGAGGCAGAACGGATGGAGGTCCATGAGGAGATGTTCTCAGTCTCCAGGGCACTTAGGTGCCCAGGGAAGAAAGGTGGGGAGGGGGCAAAAGCGGAAGGCCTTTGTCAGTACCTGAGTCCACGCAGCCCCGGCTGCACATAGTGAAGCAGCACTTCTGGGTGAGGGGGCAGTCTCGGTCGTCTCTGCAGGTGTCATTGCAGGGGGCAAAGGTATTCACCAGTTCCCTTTTGGGACACACGCCAGGGTGCTCTGGAAAAAGGAGATGGAGAGAAGGGGACAGCAGTCAGTAGTGAGATGGAATTGTGTTCTGAATGCCAGGACTCACTCTGGAACGTGTGAAGATATCATCAAGAGGAAATAAACTCCTGAGCATATGCAGAGTTCATTTCCCCTCCTATGATCCTACCACTGGCAGCTGCCACCACCACACCGCTTGGCATGAGGGAGAGGAGACTCTTTGAGTGAGCCCCAGCACCTCTTCCTTGGCAGAATCCTCTGCCAACCACGCACATGTACACACAACTGCCCTCCCCATCAGGTCCCCATATCTCCCGCATCCAAGAGATACCTTCTTCAGCCGGCTGGCAAGTCTTCCCGCACCCATTGCGGCAGCACTTCTTGCGTGGCAAGTAGAGTGAGACACAGTCCTGGTCATTGTTGCAAGTCGCAGAGCAGTTCGCAGCCTGGCCTGGCTGGGGGCTCAGCCTGGGGCAGTATCCAGGGTAGACTGGGGATGAAAGGAGAACCTAAGAAGAGCATCTGCTGGATCAGGCCAGTGGCCCACCTGGTCCAGCATCCTGTTCTCACAGTGGCCAGGCAGATGAAGAACACTTACTCCCCTCCTGTGTTTGCCATGACTGGTATTCAGAAGCATGTATGGGGCCGCAAGCCAACACTGAGTGCATTCCCAACATTTTCTGACATTAGGCATATTTTCTTCAGCTGAAATCTTGTCTAGGACCGACAGCTATCTGGCTGCACAAATTAAGTAAGAAGATGAACTAATTATTTAATTTGCAAATCATGGAATTGAGTGTTTACTTCAATCTTACACAACTGGGGTAGTTCAGCTTTGAATTTATGCATGTTTTTGGTTCTTTGTCAGTCCTTCTGAACCGCACTGTGATCTTCGGATGAAGGGCTGTATAGACATTTAATAAATGAATAGGTCTGTTTTCATTTTTTTAAAAAAACCCCACATTAATACATGCAGGGAAAGGAGCCAGTTCCTCTTTGCCTGGAATGAATGGGGTCCCCCTGATCTGACCTGCTTGCACACCTGAGAGCAGGTGAGTCTCTGGACTGAGGCTGTGCACAGCCTGCCTCCCACCTGTTGGTTGGACCCTGCTGGCAGTGCGCCAGGTGGAGGTCAGCTGCCATGTCTGGGCGAGCCACACCATGCGCCAGGTGGAGGTCAGCTGCCATGTCTGGGCAAACCACACCATGGCGGGTGGGATTCTGCACTGCAATGCCTCTTGCCTGACTATGAACTACAGTGTTAAAGCCTACATGGATCCAGGCAGGATATGCACCAACCCCCTTGTGTGTATGGATGGGTGGCTGAGAGCACATCTGGGTCAGAAGGTGAGGCAGATGGGAGGTTCCTGACTTCATTTCTCCCCCCAAAAAAGAGGGGCTGCTGCCCCTCTGCTTACCCTCAAGTGGGCGCATGCACTGATGCCCACAGCCGGTCTGGCAGCAGCGCTCGCTCCCTGGGCAGCTGTTGTCCCAGGAGCAGAACTGGCCGCACTGGGTGTCATTGTTTTGGATCAGAGTAGGACAGGTGCCAGGCTTCACTGTGATGGGGAAAGAGAGACAGAGGTAGAGAGAGAGAGAGAGAGAGAGAGAGAGAGAGAGAGAGAGAGAGAGAGAGATGGATTACCAAGCCCTTCATCAGTGCTGGAAATGAAGGCATTTCAACTCCTCTCCACTGTGAAAATCGAAAGCTTCTGCCGCTTAAAGAAAGAATGTAAGAACAGCTTGCAGGATCAAGCTATTGTCTTCTCTATGCCAGCATCCTGTTCATATCTTCATCATTTCCTGGGAGATGGGCGGGGCTTGCTTCTAGGTACAAGGTGTGTCCTTAAGTCTCTCCTGCAGCTTACCTGAAAGTGGGTCTGGGCTGCAAAGGCAAGTGTTCCTCCTGCCCTGCCTCAGAAGCCCAGCAGGGGGGCACCCAATCGGCACCCCGCCAGTCTGCTGCTCCCAAGGGGTGCTCCTCTTGGCCACAGCGGGGAGGGGGTGTCAGAAAAGGGCTGGCATTTCAGAGGCAATGTATTAATGGACATCCTCGCCTCATCTTAATGTGGATTGGGAATTCCTTTTCATTAGTTACCTGCTCTTCAACCTAAGGTCCCAGGAAACATTACAACCTTAAAACAAAACATTAAAAGCAGTTTGAAGCAAGTTACATCCACAAAAATAAGGAGATTCTGATTCCCTGAAAATCTGAACAGGAGAGCTGAATCATTGGCTTAGGGCAGTGGTTTTCAACCAGTGTGCTGTGGCACCCTGGGGTGCCTTGAATAATGGGCAACACTGGCCTCTGTCTCTCTTTCCTTCCTCCCTCTTGTGTCTCTGCCTCCCAAAGGCTTGCACAGCTGTTTATTGCAGCAGCCCTGGCTATAAGCTCCACAGGCAAAAGGTGCATCTGGGGCTGGCTGGGGGATGCGGGTTGCCAGGAACTGAGGCGGCCTCAGAGTAAGCAGGTGGGTGAGGGAGCCCAGCCAGGCAGTCCACCAGCCCTTGCTGTTGGGAATGGACAGACAAGCGGCAGGCCGGCCGGCCAGCTGGCCGTCACTGCTTTGGTCTTTCTTGTGCTTGCTGTGGTTAAGACCTGCCTGGGAGATGAGTGCCCACTGCTGCTGTTGCTGCTGCCTGCCAAGGTAAGGTGCTGGACTCACATTCACCTTCGACCAGTCTCCGTTGGGCCACTAAGGCTGGGTATATGCTCTTCCCAGGCTGTTGTGGGGCAGTGTGGGGAGGGAGGCACCTCTCTTTGGGGCAGGAGGGGCAGCTTAGAGACTGGGGCAGTGGCAGCGGCTGTCTGGAGGACTCCCAATGAGGGGGGAGAGGAGAGGAGGCTGAAGGAACACTCCACAAGAAAGGGCCAAAGCTAGGCTTTCTGTCACCCGGGTCAAAGACCCAGTCTGGCGCGCGCGCACACACACACGCACACACACACACACACACACACACACTCAACCCATTTATTCATAGAAGCCCTGGCAAAGTCTCATTGCTGGGAAGGGGAGCAAATTATATAAGGAACACCTTGGCAAGAGGGGGAATCCAGTGGCACCTTGGCTGGTGGGAGGTGTCCAGTGGCACAGCAGAGTGGCAGAATGCCCCTTTCTCACTGGATTTCAGCATTCCCAGTGGGGAATGAAACCCCACACCTTCTGCATGCAACTCAAGTGCTGTTCCCCTGAGCTTCCCCGGCTTCCTGGAGGAATTTTCCTGACTGCACTTCTCTCAACAATTCCCAGAGAAATGCTTTTGACACATGCGCCTGTAAGGAGAGAGGAGACAGGATCCCTTACCTGGAAGCCTCTGAGCAGAGGCGGGTGTCATCTCATCCCAGAGGGTGAGGAGCCCCACAAGGATCACAAGCGCACCAGACTTCATGGTGGGTCAGGCTAAGGGGAGAGTCCACTGCCCAACCTGGTCTGCTCCCTTATATTGCCCAGGATTGCAGAATCACAGCAAGCTCAGGAGGATGGTGAAAGTGGTGAGCAGGACAGAGAGGAAATCCTTTCCTCCCCGACCAGGTTTTGTAACAAACGGTCCCAACGGCTGAAAGGTTGTGGGCAGCCTTTCCACAGAGGTGCCTGAGTGAGGAGGACAGCTAAGAAATGACACGCCGAGGATCCTACACACCCTCAAACTTGCTCTCTCCAGTTCTTTGCACAGAGCTAACCTTTCCACCCTTGCACCTCTAACGTAATTTATTCGATCTCAGAGGAGCCGGACTTTGCCATCACAGAAGAGGTATAATTATAGTTATTGTTTGTTAATGACCTCTTGATTAATTACAGGTTGAAAAATTAAAGCACAGTCTTATAAACAGTCTAAAACAACTTGCAATCATAAAAACAAGGTGGGTCCTAAAAACACACATCTCAAGTGTCAAAAAGCCAGGTAAAAGAGTTGCTTCTTCAACCAGCTCTGGAAACTGAGCCATGAAGGTGCCATCTGCTGTGGAACCAGGTTCAAGCTCCTTGTATTACTGGCAAAGCCCTGAACAACTTGGGTCCAGGATCCCTCAGGGATCACCTGAACCCTGATATTCCAGCTCGATCACTGAGATCATCTGCAGGAGCACCTTTGATCATTCCTTGGGTTGCTGGGGCTTCTTTGACAACAACCAAGTTGTCATTGGCCCAATCCTGTGGAACTCCCTGCCACTGAAGACTCAGCAGGAGCCTTCTGTGCCAACATCTAAACACCTGCTGAAAATTTTTCTATTCTTCCAGGCCTGTACAGGAAATTGAGAATATTTTCCCCCACAATGGTCTGCTGGTGTTTGTTTCTAATTTGTTTTTTCTTTTTAATTTTTAATTTTTATGATACGATATGATAATCTTTATTGTCATTGTCACATACAGAACAACAAAATTGAAAAAATCTACAACAGACATTCAAAAACCAACAAGCTTGCTATCCCAGCTATCCCAGCCTGGTTAACCCCCTAGAAACTCTGATACCCCATAATTAAATACAATATACTCCCACAGAGCCTACCTTACACTGCGTTTAAAACCAGAATTGCATTTGTGTAGAAACTGTTTCTCAGGTGGCTAGTCCTAGTCTTTATAACCCTGTACCTTCTTCCAGAAGGCAGAAGCTGAAAGGGATCATTTCCGGGGTGCGCACTATCCTGTGCTTTCTCTGCCGCTTTCTTATGGCACCTGGAAGCGTAGATTTGATCCAAGGTGGGAAGAGTGCACCCAATTATTCTCTCCGCAGTCTTAACAACCCTGGACAGCTTTGGTTTTTTCCCTGACCGTGCAGCTCCCAAACCACACACACAGACCATAAGTTAATGCACCCTCCACAGTAGCATGGTAAAATGCCATCAACAGGTCCTTTGAGAGATTGTTTTTTCAGAGGATAATTATTTTATTGCCTGGTTTTATGTCTTTATATTGCTGTAAACCACTGTGAAATGTTTTATTTAACAAACAAGCAGTACAAATTCAGATACAAAGAAATAGGTGAAAATGCAGCAGCATCAATAAAAAGGGACAATTAAAGCCAGGTAGCCGAATCAATAAATCCTGCCAATCTACGTAGGTGTCCCCCTGTCCCAGGAAGCAGAAAGGGAGCCCAGCTTGCCACAGGGGCATGGTCACACCATGTGGGGTCTTCCCTCCTTTTCTCAGCTTCCCACCACGTGTGTCACAGGAGGGAGACTGAGTGTTGAGTCAGCCTGTGGTTGGTGGGGACACCTCTCTCTAGCATGCACATCCAAACTGACGTGTCACGCATGGAGGAAAGCCCCAGGGCCAGATCCGAGGCCTGCCTGCCAGGACTCCTTCAGCCAAGAGCAGGGAGTGAGCGATGGCTCCTCCCAGGAGAGGGAGGAACAGAAGATGTTATCTGACCTGGCAGAGGCAAGTAGCTCAGGTGGAAGAGCGTGAGACTCTTGACTTCAGGGTCATTGGTTTGAGCCCCACGTTGGGCAAAATATTCCGGCATTGCAAGGGGCCCTCGTGGTCTCTCCCAACTCTCCCATTCTGTGTTTCTATTATCCTACGAAGGCTCATGCTAGCTTCACCGTTAGGAGAGAGGCAGCGGGAAAACAGCAGTAAAATAAAAGCAGAGCAGGAGGAGGAGTGAGTCAAGCAACAAGAAGGTTTCTGTGAACACATCATAGACAGCGGGGCTCTTAAATAGAGGAAGTGTCAGATCACTGCTACACCTTGCCCAATGTTGTCGGCACTGGCTGGCAGTAGACTTCAGGGGAGGTATTCTGCCCACTGAGCTTCAGCCCCATCCCAAAGGGGGAGAGCGGGAAAGACCAGGTGGAAACTATTAGCTTCTGATCACAGAATTATCAGAGGGTAGAGTTGGAAGGGATGCAGACAGTCATCTGGTCCAACACAGGAGTGATGGCTAAACAGGACACCACAACTTTAATGCAGTTTGAAAAACCCAAGCAATGTACAAAGGGTGGGAAATGAATAAACACATTGTAACAATATGTAAAAGCAGCACAGCTACAAAGTGACTCATAATATCTATGTCTGACCAATAGCACTATTCTGAAATGGTTTGGGTGAATTATTGTTATCAGGGCTTCTTTTCAGCCAGAACTCAGTGAGTTCCTCTCAGGTAGGTGCCATTGCCATTCTTAGAGAATGAGGGAGGTGTTCATGGTGAGTTCTGACACCTCTTTTTCTAGAAAAATAGCAATTCTTCTTCTTCTTCTTCTTTGCAAACCACCCTATACCTCAAGTCTCAGGGCAGTTCACAGGATAAATTCACAATATAAAAACACAAAATACACAATCAAACAACCCCCCAATAAATGCCAACCCAATAAACCACCCCCAAAGCATTTTAAAAAGGACATTGGGAGGACAATCAACTAAAGGCCTGGTTAGTGAGGAATGTTTTTGCCTGGTGCCTAGTGGTTTATAATGAAGGTACCAGGCAAATCTCCCTGGGGAGAGCATTCCACAAACAGGGAGCCATTGCAGAAAAGGCCTGCTCTTGTGAACATAAAGTTCTTTTTTAAATTCTGAAAACATAAGATCATCGCCCATAAGATCATTTCACCCACCTCCAGTCTGATCCCTCTTGCCCCTGACAGCAGGATCTATAGGGAAGGGGAAGCTATGGAACAGGAGACGGTGGTTTCCTGGCAATGAGGACTCTTTCAGCTACCCATACAGGGTTTCATACAGGAGCCCCAAGCCAGCACAGCCAGAAGATGCAGAGGCTCATAGGAATTGCAGCCAATTCAGAGGGAGGATGCCTTAGAAAGTGTTTCCCATGGGGGCTTAGAAAGATGGAGATTGGGACAAGGGAGTCCAAGGAAACACTCACCTAGAGGCATCTGACCAGACACAGGAGCCTGCTCACCCCAGAAGGCAAGGAGCGCAACCAGGCAGAGGACGATGGACTTCATGGCGAAGCAGGTCTGAGTCCCCTGCCTGCGCCCAGAAGGCTTTATATCCCATGCAGAAGGAACTGACAGCACATTTGGGAATCTCTCAGCTCCACCCAGAATGAACAGAAAGCAGAAAGGAATGGATTGGTTGGGAAAGGCTGGGGAATCTGAGTGACTGGAGAGGAACCTTTCCAAGCCAGCACCCCATTCGTAGGAAGGCGATGACTCTGCTGAGTCCCGGGCGTGGCCCTTCTGTTGTCAAAATGCAAAGGATCGCAGAAATGAGGAGCTGCCTCCAGGCGCTTCCAAGCACCAGGGGAAGTGCAGCCAAAACCCAGGAGACCCGATGCCAGCCTTGAGTCTGGGTGGCCTTGTGCCTGGGGCATTCAGAAAGAGGGCATCAGTCGTGCCAAAGGGGAAATGGCATCTTGACTGCAGGAGGCGGGTGTATTCCTCTCTCCAGAGTGGATGTCATTGCCCACCTGGGCTGCTTTCATGAGAAGAAGAGGTTCGAGGTGAGGTGGGGACAGAGCTGAGTTACTGCTGGGGCTGACAAGCCTCACACTCCTAAGAACATAAGAAGAGTTCACTGGATCAGGCCAGTGGTGCATTTAATGCAGCATAAGGTAAAGGTAAAGGGACCCCTGAACATTAGGTCCAGTTGTGGCCGACTCTGGGGTTGCGGCGCTCATCTCGCTTTATTGGCCGAGGGAGCCGGTGTAGAGCTTCCGGGTCATGTGGCCAGCATGACCAAGCCGCTTCCGGCGAACCACTAGAACCTTCCCCAGAGAATCCAGGAATCCATCAGATTTCATAAGTCTCTGGAACACTGAATGGGTCTCCCACCCCTTCGGGGGGAGATCATGACCGTGAGACCAAACTTCATCAGGAAATGATCAGACCACAACAATGGGGCTAGTATGACACATGAGCCCCAGTTTTCAGACCACCTTTTTCACACTCTCAGGCGAAAAACAAATCAAGATACCCCACTTTGTGTTTTGGGTCTGTGACATCTGGAAACAGCCCCGTGTGGAGCTGGACTTCACAAAGTGTCCTCCACTAAAGGAACATTGAAGTCCTGCACAATCCACACCATGTGCCAGGCTGCCTTTACCAGGTTGGTCAACTCCAGCCCTCATCAATCTCTTTGGCCAAACACTGGGTCAGGCCCTCAAAGATCATCCCAACTTGGAAAGGCTTCCTGGAGAGCAAGATGGTAAATCTGAGGGCCAATACACCCAACTCTCTCCTTCTTCAGTGCTCCAGCCCTTATTGGACACCCAGGTGGACAGAGCTGAGTGAGAGCAATCCCCTTCCCAGCTCATCTACCCAGGTCTTCGTAACACATGCCAAGTCAGTGCCCTCATCTACAATAATAGAATCACACAACTGTAGACCGTTGGAATCCCTTCCAGGTCTATGATCCTATGGTTCTACTGCACCAAAGATTCTGAAAGTTTTCCGAATGGGGAGGCATGCCTAGATGGGTCAACAATCTTTCTGTGAAAGGGAAAGGGTTCTGTGGCACTGGGAGAAGGGGGAGAAAGTGCTTACCTAGAGGGCGGCTGGAGGCAGGTGTCAGTTGACCCCAGAGAGCAAGGAGCCCCACAAGGAGGAGAAGGCCACTCCACCACATGGTGGACAAGCTAAGTCTACTGCCCAGCCCACGACTCACATATCTCAGAAAACAGGTTCTCTGGGGAATTCCCAAAGAAGGAGGTGAAGGAAGAAGAAACAGAGGTCAGGACAGTAAGTGGGACAGAGTGGACATTCAGCCCCCCCCCCCAGGCCACTCCTTTGCCTCTTAGTGCCCCCCAGCTACTGTAATTCACCACATAATAGTCACTGGCTTTTTTGCCAAATTTGTGGTGCAGAAAAGTGGGTGTGACATTAAGTGAAGTCTCCGCCTGCACCATGTACCACACCAGAGCTTGTGGGGCTGCATGAACAGCTCTGCCTCTCATCCCATTGAGGCCCCCACCCTGGGCCACGAGCCCTTCAGAAGCCCTCCATGTCCTCTAGAGGCACCCAAAGGTTCTGCTGGGGCCAGAGGTGGCGGAAGGGGTGGTGGATGGGCAACAGAGGTGGTCACTCGCTCATTGCTTCCCCTTCTTGGTTGGCATGTCCCAGGGAGTGACTGCGAGCCCATCGTTATCCTTGGGCTGCCCTTCCCACATGGCGGAGCAGCCCCATGGTGGGCCCTTCACCAGAGAACACCTTCCAGTGGTTTGCCAAGAGTCAGCCAAGCCCAGGGAAGTGGCCAAGGTGGCCTGGGAGAATTACCGCATTCCATATGACAATTACACAGTGAAAGTTTTTGGACCAATTGTTGGACTTGGGGGCGGGGGGACAAATGGGGTGCAGCGATTATGCAGTGAATTATGATAATTCCCCAACAGGGTGTGCTACTACCCACTTTGGGTGTAGAATGAGCCACCTTTCTTGCTCTAAAAGGAGTCTTGAAGCAATAAAAAACTTAAAATTCATCAGTGGAAAATACAGAACACTTGGAGCTGCCCTTTGTATCAGATTGGCTTTTGTAAGGCCCCCAACTCTTGGATGGGGTCCTGGGCTTCATAGCTCTTCTCATGTTTTTTATTAATATTCAAGGAGGAGGAAGAGGCTGCCCCTCCCCCAGTGGCACTATTCTCCCTCCACTGCCAGAGGCACCAGGTCCCTTAATACCAGTGCTGGGAATCCCATGTGGGGGGAGTCACTGCTGCCTCTGGTTTTCGCTTTAGAAAAATACTTTATTATTACTATTATTTTAAAACTTATGCCAAATTGTGCAAAATGCAGCGTTATTAAACAAGATCTTATGACATAGTCTGCATACAATTAGAGATCACTGCTATACAAATACAGACATGATATCTACCCGGACACTGAGGTCCAGCACCGACAACCTTCTGGAGGTTCCCTCGCTGCGAGAAGCCAAGTTACAAGGAACCAGACAGAGGGCCTTCTCGGTGGTGGCACCCGCCCTGTGGAACACCCTTCCACTAGATGTCAAAGAGACAAACAACTACCAGACTTTTAGAAGACATCTGAAGGCAGCCCTGTTTAGGGAAGCTTTTAATGTTTGATTCCTTACTGTATTTTAATACTTTGTTGGAAGCTGCCCAGAGTAGCTGGGGAAGCCCAGCTAGATGGGCAGGGTATAAATAATAAATTATTATTATTATTATTATCATCATCATCATCATCATCATCATCATCATTATTGATGCAAAATAGATAAACTACAGGTACAGTGGTACCTCAGGTTGCATACGCTTCAGGTTACATACGCTTCAGGTTACAGACTCCGCTAACCCAGAAATAGTGCTTCAGGTTAAGAACTTTGCTTCAGGATGAGAACAGAAATTGTGCTCCGGCGGCGCGGTGGCAGCAGGAGGCCCCATTAGCTAAAGTTGTGCTTCAGGTTAAGAACAGTTTCAGGTTAAGTACGGACCTCCAGAAAGAATTAAGTACTTCACTCGAAGTACCACTGTGTGTGAGTGCATGGAAAGTAGCAACTAGAACCACATTTGCCATACAAATAATGGTTAGGGAACACAAGGTGACAAAACAAGGAGCCTTTTATACCAAAGGAGAGTATGCACCCAAAGTCATTGTAGCTCCCCGCTAGGCAATCCCATTGCCCCCAGGGGGAAACAACATGAGAATTCCTAGACATCCCATGAAGCTGAATACTGGAAGACTCAGGACAGATGAAATGAAGTCCTTCTTCATGAAGCACATTGGACTTAAGCCTGTCCTGCTTCTTTTCCCCAGGGAAAAGTTGCTCTTTAGCTGTGAATCAGAGCAAACATCAACCCGGTTGTCCTGGTGCTTCTCTAGAACGGAGAGAGAATGTGCTTGAGCCATCGACTAGGACTTGTCGTTTGAGAATCAGAGAGGTCTTTGTGCGTGTGCTTTTTCTGTGTGATCTGCCATTTCAAGAACTACTAGTCCCAGAGTTCTTTGTGCAGATGCAGATGCAGAGGCAGAAAAAAAACACATAGAACTGATGGCGAGGCAAGCCCAGCAAAGGGTATTGTTCTCAGCGACGATTATAGGATTTACAACACAGAATATAGGAGAGTTCATGGAGCCAGCTAGTTTTCTGCTGCTTCTATGATCCTGAGAATAATCCCTACTTCACAAGTATCCTGCAGAATTTACTGAACTATTTCCTTGTGAAATATTGCATCTCAAATAAAAACCACATCAAAACAACTTTTGGAAAAGATTATGAACTTTCTCCTGATCCATTTCATTCTCTCTCTCTCTCTCTCTCTCACACACACACACACACACACACACACACAAACAAACAACAACACTGGCCCCTTGGAACAGAAGCATACAGTTCATTGCATCAAGATTTCATTTTTCTTTCAGTGCACATCTGATTTGGTCTAAGATGGCACCAAACATTGCATGTTCATAGCCAATCAGGGATGAAGTACAGTAATACCAGGAAGCGAATTCAAAGTGAGATGAATGTCTCTGCCGTCACCCTCAGCAAGTGCTTGACAAATGGCTCCAGAGTATTATGGCAGAGACATGTTCCACTCGTGCTCATGCATCTCATCTTTAGTGCCCTTGGAGATTGCATGCAATATTTCTTCTGCACTGCATCACAGTTCAAACGTGCCATAATGGACACGCACACTTCTGACTGCCAGCTTTGCATCATGGAGACAAAGTGTTCCATCTGCATGATAAGATCCCTATCAGTTGCACATAACATCCTAGTGCCTTTGTGATTTTATCCATAAAACAATGCAAGTTCTAGAACAATGGGGGACACCTCAGGCCCTAGATATCTGCACTTGGAGCAGAAATGCTGCAGGCCTGTGGATTCTGGGTGGATTATTTTAATGGCCATTTTCTGCTCTCTTTTTTAATCCAGCTCATGCAGAATTCTGCTCTGGAACCTCTGCACTAAGCCACTTTTAGAGTCAGTCATCGCAGGCTCCCTAAAACCTGCTATTTGAATTGACACAAAATTCAACCAGCTGAAATATCACAGTTTCATTTCCTTATTTCTGCCATAAAAATGCATACACATTTAGACATGCATAGATATGTATAGATACCGAGCAGAGAAATTAGAATTATAGAATTGTAGAGTTCGAAGGGACCCCAAGGGTACTCTAATTAGGAATCACGGCTGAAGAATCCCTGACAGGTGACCACCCAACCTCTGCTTTAAAAATCCCCAAGGGAAGAGGACTTCTATGTACCAGACACCAGATAAATAAAGAAAAGTGTGGATCTCTCTACACAGAACTCTGCCCTCTGAGGGGGTCTTTTCTGGCTTGCTCCAGCTAAAATGAGCTTGAGACATCCTCACCATAGAAAGCGCAGGGCCCTTTGAGACAAACAACATGAGACTCTCCCAGTATGTGGTCAAGGACGTGAGGTCCCGGCAATTCTTGAGAATTATTGAGCACATTGGTTGATTCTCCTTCATTGGAGGTTTTTAAGCAGAGGTTGGATGGCCATCTGTCATGGATGCTTTGGTTGAGATTCCTGCATTGCAGGGGGTTGGACTAGATGACCCTCTGTGTCCCTTCCAACCCTATGATCTCTCAGCCAATCGCACTTTAGAGATGCCCAGAACTGGATTTCCACTACGCAGCCACCCCAAGGCTTCGTGGAGAAAGAAGTCATTCCACAGAGACTTTTGCCAGTTCCTGGCTCTGCCCCTGCCTGGGAACTGAGGAGACCATAAATCTACCAAACGCCCTCCTCCATCCCCATCAGACCAAACTTTTCCCTGGGCAGCAGCTGCTGCCAAATCCCTGCCCTGTCCTTCTCCCTCTCTGGAACATTTCAGCCTCTCTCCCGATCCCCTCCCTGAAGCTCCATTGTTCAGGGCTGGGCTGGGCTTCTTGCATGAAGCCACCTGCCATCCTGGTGAGGTCAGAGTATAATAAGGTGCTTCTGCCTGAGCTGTGGAGAGAACTCACTCCTGGGTCCACCATGCACCATCCTTCCAGCCTCTTCCTCCTGGCGGGGACCCTTCTCCTCTTGCACCAGCTCCCTCTTGCACCTGCCAAGCTCATTGTGGGTGAGTGGCGCCTCCCCTTTCCCTTCAGCGCTCTATTCTCTTTAAACCAGCCCTTCCAAGTGTCCCCCAATGCTCAGGGGTGACCCTGTTAACCTGCCTTGTCTCTCCTCATCATTAGCCTGGCCTTTTCTCCTGACACGTTTTTGATTTTATCAACCAACTATGTTAATAAGTCCATTTTTATCCTTTGTTGCAGGGCCCCTAAAAGGCATGGGGCTCATAGGTCAGTGCCTACTCTGCCTATTTGGTCATCTGGCACAGCTTTCCTTTAATTGTGGCCACCAGCCTTCCTTCCCCTTTTGCAGCAGGGGGAAAAAGAATATGCTAGCTATGCTAGTCTGCATCAACAGAGGTCTGGTGTCCAGATGAAGGGAAGGAAAAGTACCACCCTTTTCTGCCTTTGTTGGACCCCCACCTACAGCACTGTGTCCAGTTCTGGGTGCCACAGTTTAAGAAGGAAGTGGACAAGCTGGAACATGTGCAACTGAGATGATCAAGGGTCCTCAAACCAAGCCTTATGAGGAACAGTTGAGGGAGCTGGGTATGATTAGCCTGGAGAAGAGGAGACTGACAGGTGATCCCAGAGCAACCTTCAAATATCTGAAGGGATGCCAGATGGATGATGGAGGGGTAGGATCCGAACCAATGGTGACAAGAAAGGAGATTCCTAAACATTAAGGAGAACTTTCTGAGAGTAAGAGATGTTTGACAGTGGGACAGACAAGGTGGTGGGCTTCAACTTTTGCCTGGTCAAAAATGAGCCACACAAATAACTCTGGGTGTTCATTGGCCTTAGGAACACAGGAAGCTGCTCTTCCTGTCAGTCCATGGAATCATAGAATTGTAGAGTTGGAAGGGACCTCAAGGGACCTCTAGTCCACCCCCTGCAATGCAGGAATCTCAGCTAAAACATCCATGCCAGTTGGCCATCCAACCTCTGCTTAAAAACCTTCTCCCAAGGGAGACCATACCACTGTCAAACAGCTCTTACCCTCAGCAAGTTCTTCCTTCATCGGAATCTCCTTTCTACACCACCCTGAGTGGCCAGTGCCTTTCTAGGGTGTCAGGCAGCTAATTGTCCAGTATTTCATTGAGACATATTGTTGCACTGTGAAATATCCAGAAGTCTCTGGCGACAGCAAACCAACTGCATTTCTGGTGGCATTTGAGTCTGTTGAGGTGGCCAAGTGAAAGGAGATGCAGGGTCTGCTCCTGCACCTCCAACCCTGATGGAGAAAGGGGGGCTTCAGCGGGCGACACCAGGCTGCACAACTCTTTGAGACGCAACTTACAGTACGCTTCTGACTTCCTCTAAGAACCTCATGCATGTGTCTCCCTGCAGCTTCATCAGGGGGCTTGATCCTCACTGGGACACAATGCCACCAAAGCCTGTTTCGAATGGCAGATAGGGTGGTGCTACCTGCTGGGCTTTTGTGGTAAGACAGGAGAAATACTTTCAGCCCAATCTGAGAATCATAGAATTGTAGATTTGGAAGGAATTCCAAGGGGTTTCCAGTCCATCTCCCTGCAGTGCAAGAATCACAGCTAAATAATTCCTGACCAGTGACCATCCAACCCCTTTTAAAAAACCTCCCCCCCAAAAAAGCCTTCTTAGAAAGTCCAGTCCACTGCTCAACAGTTCTTACTGTCAGAACTTTCCCCCTAACATTTAGCCAGACCCTCCTTTCTTGTCATCTGAATCCATCGATTCAGGTCCTCTCCTCTGCAGCAGCAGAAAGCAAGCTGCGCTTGTGGGGCTGCCTTCAGAGGACTTTGCAAGTCTATTGCTAGTGTTGCTCCTCCAACATCAGAAGTTCTGGGCTCTAAATTCTGTATATTGTTTTCGATTCTGTTGCATCTCTTCTTGTCCCGCAGATATCTGCAGACTTCCTCCTCAGAGAGGCAACTGTCTGGCCCTGTTCATTCGCTGGTACTACAACCCGAGGGTCGGGAGGTGCCTGGTTTTTATTTATGGGGGCTGCTTAGGGAATGCCAACAACTTCCACAGTCGCAGCGCCTGTGAACGGCGGTGCATGCGCCCAGGTAAGACCCCGAGACAAATGCTCAGGTGGAGGCGGAGGGAGGAGCCAAAGATTTTCAGCCAAAATCATTGGAATAAGTGGAGCTGTGAGAATAAGAGGGTTGGACCAAGAAGAGAGGTCCTCGTGCTGATCAGGAACAGGTAAAGAAACATGAAGCAGAGAGCAGGAATATTTGGAGGGATGTAGAAAGTGGGGTCCCCAAGGATTGGCGTTGGGACCTGAACTTGTTGACATGTTCATAAGTGGCCTAGAATTAGGGGGGAGCAGTGAGTTTGCTGATGGTAGTTTCAGAATTAAGAAGCGATTGTGAAGAGCTCCAGAAGACCTCTCCAAACTGAGTGAATGTGAGGTAAAATGGCAAATGCAATTCAGTGTAAACAAGAGTCAAGTGATTCACATTTAAGACCACTCCAAAATTGCAATTGCACATAGATGTTCATAGGGTCTGGACAGGTGGTGACTGACCAGGAGTAAGACCTAGAGGACATAGCAAATAATTCAGTTAAGGTCTTGACTCATTGGGCAGCAACTACAAAAATGGCAGATTCCATCCTAGGGATCACTAGGAAATGAATTGGAAATAACATGTTAAATATCATGATGCTGTTCATTGTGGCTCCTGTCCAATGACAGAGGTGTTTACTTGCAAGTAAAGAAAGTAAGCTTTTAGCACAGCAGTCCAACGATACAAACTCAGCAGCTAGGAAAGAGCAGAGGAAATGCAACAATAAACCCAACAGGTTTCTCCTCCTCCCCACCAGTCTTTAAGCAGAGGTGGTGAAGGCTCAGCTACTCACAGAAATCCCTGTCCCTGTGAGCCTTCCTGACCTGGAGGCAAGCTGTTTCCCAAGGTGGAGGGGGGAGTCTCCTTCCTATTCTCTATGTGTCACCTCTCCCTGATAGGAAGCCCTTCTTACATTTTGGAAATTAAAGACTCATGAACGCCAGGAGGGTCAACAGGAAGGTCTCTCAATGCTGGCTGCAAAAGTCTCTGGCCCGGAGAGAGAGAGAATGGCCACACACTGCATGGGGTGGAAAGAAAATGATGGCAGGAAAAGTCACTGAAGCCAACAAGTGTTCTGAGACGTTTTGGGTTACTTATCATAAATCAGCCCACATAGTTTGCTTGTTAGGAAGGGCTTGCAGTTTCCCAGGGGGTCATACCAGCGAAGGAGTCAGCCTGCCCCATGTTCTCTTCCAGCAACAACTCTTCCAGTCAAGCCTGGCACATGTCCTGCTCGGGTTGAAGGTGAGGTGATGTGTGGCCAGTTCTGCTCCACGGATGCCAGCTGCCCAGGGAATGAGCGCTGCTGCCGGACCATCTGTGGGCGACAGTGCCGGCTCCCTTCCGAAGGTAAGGGCAAAGGGAGGTTGCCGTTCTGGTTTCAGGGACCCTCGGACAGGAGATGCCAGGAGAGAAGAAGACCAGCACCCAACTAAGGCGCCCTTGGCAACTCATCTCCATAGACCCTCTCATCTTGTGCCAGGGATGGGGAAAGTGTGGTCTTTGGGATGTTGCTGGACTCTAGCTCCCGGCATCCTCTGCAGCCAGCATGGCCAATGGTCAGGGATGTGGGAAGTGGAGTCTAAAAACATCTGGAGGGTTAGAGTTGTCCTCCGCGGCTGGAGGCAGAAATATTTCTGAATCCCAGTTGCTAGAAACCACAAGAGGGGAGGGTGCTCTTGTGCTGGAGCCCTGCTTGCAGGCTGAGATCTTGTTGGCCACTTTGAAAGCAGAATGCTGCTCTGATCCAGCAGCTTCCTCTTGCATGTTCTTAGTGTCATCATGGCACATCAGTCACATACGATCTGCCCAAAGGTTCTCTGTGGACTTTGCAGAATCTCCTTCTGCCTTCCCAACTGTTGCTCCCTCTTCCTCCCCAGCCATCCCCGGATACTGCCCAAGAACGCAGCGCCGGCTGGACCGCCCCTGCTTGACCAGCTGCACAACTGACTTGGACTGTGGCTTCGGTCTCCACATCCCAAGGAGGAAGTGCTGCAGATACGGATGCCACCAGCTGTGTGTAAAGGCTGAGGAAGGTACGGCTTTTCCAGCAATGACAAAGAACAGCTGGGCGATGTGTGAGAACCCAATAAGAATGAAAGAACAAAGTGGTTGGGTGCCACTCCCTGACTCTCCACTCCCATGGATGCCAATGGGGATGGGGGGGGGTATCATTCCGTTTGCATTTAAAGGCAAAACAACCTAATTCACACTTGCTGAACTAAGACACCAACCGAAATGCAGCTCTCTGTTAAAGTTCACAATTGTCTGGATTTTGTGATGCAACTCTGCAACAGAAAATTCCTTACCGAAAGGAGAAGGGTGCAAAACAGTACAGTGGTACCTCTAGTTGAGGATGCGATCCGTTCCGGGGTGCTGTTTGCACCCCAAAAAGTCCACAACTAGAGCGGCACTTCTGTGCACGTGTGGAGCGTGATAGAGTGGTTTTGCTCATGTGCGAAGCATGCAGAATGCTTCTGAGCATGCACAAAGCGTACAGAATGCTTCTGCGTGTGCGGCGTGGCAAAGCCCGTTAGTATACACTTCCGGGTTTGCTGCGTTCGCAACGTGAAAATTCACAACGTGAAGCAAACGCAAGAAGAGGTATGACTGTAGTAGAAATAATGTACAAAACTGCAGTGTATCAGAGGGAATTTCGTGCAAACATTGGCAACATTGCATACCCCAGTTTTCATGAACTGTTGTGCAAAGTGATAGGGAAATGGAGAGAATGTTCAGGGTAAAGGAGAAATAAGTTTGGAAAAGAGAAAGCCCACCCTGACAGATTGCTCTATCCTTCAGTATCAAGATGTGTTATGGTTAAGGGCAGGGAAGAAACGAGATTCAGCTCACATTAAAAATCAAGCCTCTTTCCTTCATGCTTTCCAAAACAATATGCAAACTGAAACACAACCATCCTACAAAATTCACACAGCTCCCAATTTTGCAATACAGTTCTCCAACCAAGGAATGTAAACAAAAATGCATATGACAGGGTAAAGTGTGCATTAAAAAGGCATAGGTTTGTGAAAACAACATACATAAATGTATTGTATTAAGGAAATTTTTCTTTGCAAAAGCGTGTATATTAAGCATTCCAGGCCTGAGTTGTGTGTGAGAGAGAGGGGACTACATTTCCACCATCCTGATTTCAGAACCCTTATTCTTGCAAAAATGCTAGGTCTTGTGTCTGCAGCTCTGAAAGCCCATTGAGATCGTCAGGAGGAAGACGATCAGTCTTCCTGGCAGCTGCTGGGAGGAAGGAGACTCAGAATCTCCATTGGGCTTTCTCAGCAAAAGTATGGCTGGTTGTAGAGCCTCCTTGGTCAGGGGCAGTGTGCTTCTGCTTACCAGCTGCTGGAAATGGAGGGCTGTTGCCCTCAGGTCCTGCTTGTGGGCTTCTCCAATGAGGCATCTGGTTGGGCACCATGAGAACAGGAAGCTGGACTAGATGGGCTCTTGGCCTGATCCTACCACAGAGCTCCTCCTATGTTCTTGACTAGGCTCATGTCTCACTGGGCACCAACAAAGCTTCTCCTTGTAGAATCATGCAACTGTAGAGTTGGACAGCCATCTAGTCCACACACACACACACACACACACACACACACACCGTGATTCAGGAAGCACAGCTAAGCTACTGTATTTTTCGCTCCATAAGACGCACCTTTTTCCTCCTAAAAAGTAAGGAGAAATGTCTGTGTGTCTTTTGGAGCGAATGTGTGGTCGATCGCTGGCTCCCTTTCCGGCTCCTTGCCCAGGCCTCTATTGTTGAATGTTCTGCAGACAGAGGCTGTTTGTTCCCCCAGCGACATGTGACTGGCTGATTAGATTATCTGTCTGGAAACTGTAGAAACGGCTCCCTTTCCTTTCCTAAAGAAGCTGCAGAACTGTGAGTTGAACCCCATAAAAACAGGATTTTTTCCCTTTGCAAAGTAAGCTCAACACCTTTGAGCTGATCCTCAAAAAACAGGGCTTTCCCCCTTTCCTCCTCTAAAAGCTAGGCACGTCTTATGTCAGGTGCGTCTTGTGGAGCGAAAAATACAGTAGTTCTCTTCTCCAACTCTTTTCTTCCAGAGCACCCTGGCGTGTGTCCCAAAAGGGAACTGGTGTACACCTTTGCGCCCTGCAATGACACCTGTAAAGATGACCGAGACTGCCCCCTCAAACAGAAGTGCTGCTTCACTGGGTGCAGCCTGGGCTGCCTGGACTCAGGTACTGGCAAAGCCACACCCCTTTCCTCACACCTTTTCCTCTTGGGGTACCCGGGCAGTAACACAGAGCTAGTCAGCCCACACCCCAAACCTTCCATTCTTCTTCCTACAGTCCGTAGTGACCGGTGCCAGTTGCCTCCTGATGGTGGACCGTGCTACGCCTACATGCCACGATACTACTACAGCCCGTCGCGGAAGAGGTGCCTGCGGTTCATCTACGGCGGCTGCAGGGGCAACAGCAACAGGTTCAAAACCAAGAAGGCATGCGAGAAGGCCTGCGGGAAAATCAGCCCAGGTACAGCGCATGCCTTTCATGCACTGCCAAAACCTCCTTGAAAGGGAGTCACAGCCCACATGTCAGAGGAACACAATTGTGCTCAAAGAGGCTTCTTAAAAGGGCAGGTCCACATGATGCATTCTAAGCATCTCTTCAATGCACATTTAAAGCATGTGACTTCCCCCACAGAATCCTGGGAACTGTAGTTTGTTAAGAGGACTGGAAAAGATGGCTCTGTGAAGGAAAGCTGAAGTTCCCAGGATGCTCTGGGGGGAAGTCATGTGCATTGAGTTTGCTTTTGGGAATATTATTTATTTGTTTAGCCAAAGCCACTGCAAAACAAAATACATTAAACAGAACCGTGTAAACACTGCACAGCTAAAATATTTATTAAAATCAGGCGTTCTGTCAGATAAGGGTCTGCTCCCCTGAAGAATTTAACTTACCATTCCCACAAATTTTTGTCCTTAAAATTGCAGATCTAAGGGCAAAACGAGCCTCTTTTTCAGAGGTATTGGGGGGCCTGTCCTCCAATAAAATCCGATACCCAATCAATGGCTCAACTATGAGATTTAAACCTTTGAACAAGGTTGCTCTTCAGTCTTCATAGATTGAGCAAACCAGGAAGTTGTAGGGTAAATCTTCAGCCACATGACCAAACTCTGCATTCAGAAGGAATCTGGCGATATTGTCCTTCAACTACGGCAGTGTGCGTGGGGCTGGAAGTGTGGGGCTGTAAAGGCTTTCACCATTTGACAATTTAACCTACATGACTTTCTCCCGCCCTTCTGTTCAGGTCCAGTTCCTGTTCTTGCGTGCGTACTTACTCTTTATTACTGCTGTTATTTATTACATTTTTATACTGCCCTGTATCCACAATTTCAAGGCAGCTCATAACATAAAACCACAATATAAAAACACAAAATAGATAATAAAAATAAAAGCAAGAACAACCCGACTCCCCAACACATTGTAAAAGGTCATAGGATGTCAATCAACCAAAGGCCTGGTTAAAGAGGAATGTTTTTGTCGGGTGCCTAAAGGTGTATAATGAAGGCGCCAGGCAAACTTCCCTGGGGGTAGCATTCCATAGATGGGGAGCCACTGCAGAGAAGGCCCCGTTCTCGTGTTGCCACCCTATGGACCTCTTGAGAAGGAGGCACACGAAGGAGGGCCTCAGAAGATGATCTCAGGGTCCGAGTAGGTTCATATGGGGAGAGGCAGCCTTTTGCCTCCCATTGATGTATGAGTTATTTCTATATGGTGCTAATGCTTTTGCTCTCTTGTTTTTTTATGGGCAGAGAGGGGTGTTTTATGTCGACTTTATATTCTGCATTCATTTGCTATACAATTGTGTGTGTGTGTATCCACCACCACTTTTTCTACTTCCACCCCAGAGGTTTGCGAGCTGCCCAGTGAGACTGGCCCATGTCGCGCTTACTCAGAATTCTTCTACTACAATTCAACTCTTTCCTCCTGCAAGAAGTTTGTTTATGGCGGTTGCAAAGGGAATGACAATCGGTTTTACACGAGGCTGGAGTGCAAAATGGTCTGTGGAACTTCAAGTAAACCAGGTGAGAAACAAAGAGGATCTGTCCTTCAGGAATGGGACTGGCTTGGGAAACAGACAGGAGGCAGGGTCTCCAACATCTGCCCTGCTGGCCACGGACTCTTGTGTGCCAGTTCAAGGCAAGAGTCTCCTTCCTGCCCTTTAACTGTCTCTCTTTCCTTTCCACAGCAAACTCCACCACAACATCTGACTGAGTCATTCATTGACATATTCCCTTGTCTGCACGATTCTCCAGACTGACCCCTCAAAGTCCGAGGAAGAGACACCAACCTGGTACCCTGCCCTGGGGCCCTCGCCTCCCTCCCACCTCCACCTTCAGGGAGGCTGGTGGGGTCAACTCTGCTCTCCAAAAATAAAGACATGAGATGTTCGGCTGCATCCTCTGAATCTGGTTCTTGAGTTAACATAAAAGTCTGGCCGCTGGATCAGAGCAAAGGCTTACATAAGAACATAACATAAGAGCATAAGGTGAATTGGCTGGATCGGGCCAATGGGGGCCCCTCTAGTCCAGCATCCTGTTCTCACAGTGGCCAACCAGATGCCCTAACGGGAAACCAGCAAGCAGGATTCAAGCACAAGAGCAAGGAGGGGAGAGAATTCAGATTCAGAAGCATCCCTGCCTCTGATTATGGAAAGCATAGCGATTGGGGCTAGTAGCCATCAATAGCCTTCTCCTCCTCCAGGAATTTATCCAATTCAATTAATAATAATAATAATAATAATAATAATAATTTATTTATACCCCGCCCTCCCCAGGCAAGACTGGGCTCAGGGCGGCTAACACCAGGTATAAAACAATTAAAATACAACTTAAAAACAAGATTAAAATACAACATTAAAATGCAGCCTCATTTCAGTAGAAACTCAAATCAAAATCTTTCTGGGGATGAAAACGTGAAGTCTTCACCAAGGCCAACTATCCAGACTGGTCCTTCGTGGGCCAGAAAAAAGCCAGGGAAGTCCCCAAATAGGAGTTCCATCACAGAAGAAGAAAGGAAAGAGGGGAAGGGGATCAAGTTGATTCCAAGCCAAAGGCCAGGCGGAACAACTCTGTCTTACAGGCCCCGCGGAAATGCCATCCAAGTTGGTCACCATCGCTGCTTCCTGGGGGAGCAAGTTGCAGCTCTGTGCATTGATACCTCACTAGTTTGCTCTGCATTTCATACTTCTCATATCCCTGCTAAACTAAAAGAGTTTTTTCCATATCAAAATTACAAAATTTGAGGGTGTGTCATTTTCGGCAGCCACCCATTTTAGATTTTTGGTAGGTTTTCCTACTAAAAGGGTCCCAAGCACCTTTTTCGCCCCTACCTGGTGCTGTCTTGATGCTTGGAACTGCAACTCCCATCAGCCCCCAGTCAGTGCTGTTGGAGGGGAGGAGCTGGCGGAAGTCGTAGTCCAAAGAACCAGGGGGGAACTAGGCAGGGCCAGCTGGAGACATTTTGGCGTCTGAGGCAAACCACAAAACAGCACCCAGCCAGATAGGCAGAATTAGTTAGCACAGTTAATCTGGTTTATACATTGTTCCACACAACCAAAGGCATTTCCCAAAGTGATTTACAAAAACAATAAAATACAAAATACGATATGCATTAAAACAGGAGTGTTCATTTTTTAAAACAGCAGCAACAACAAATAACCATCCAAAACATTATTAGAATTATCTATTATTTTACAGTGGTACCTCGGGTTAAGTATTTAATTCGTTCTGGAGGTCTGTTCTTAACCTGAAACTGTTCTTAACCTGAGGTACCACTTTAGCTAATGGGGCCTACCGCTGCCGCTGTGCCAGCGTCGTGCGATTTCTGTTCTCATCCTGAAGCAAAGTTCTTAACCCGAGGTAATATTTCTGGGTTAACGGAGTCTGTAACCTGAAGCATATGTAACCTGAAGCAGCTGTAACTCGAGGTACCACTGTATTTATAAAATTTGCATGCCGCTGTTCAATCAAAGATCAAAGGGCTGTTCACAACATAAAAAATACAAAATGAGAAGACAAAATACACAATAAAACAAAAGCAAACCAACAACCCCCCTCCCACAAGCACATTTAAAAGGCCAGGATGTTAATCAGCCCAAGGCCAGGCTGAAGAAGAACACGTTTGCCTGATGCCTAAAGATATATAATGAAGATGTCAATGAAGTGGGAAGCCACCACAGAAAAAGCCTGTTCCGTGTTGCCGCCCTCCGGACATCTTGCAGAGGAGGCACATGGAGAAGGGCCTCCAGTGGCAATCGCAGGGTTAATATGGGGAGAGGTCTTGCGGTCCTGAGGCACTTAGGCTTTATAGGTCAATAGCAGAAACTAATTGGCAGCCGGTGCAGTCAGGCCAGGATCAGTGCAATACTGACGTACCTCGGAAGTCAAATGAAATCCATTCTGGAAGTCCATTTGACTTCCAAAAAGTTCAGAAACCAAGGCGTGGCATCCGATTGGTTTCTGATTACGCAGGTTTGCCAGAAACAACAGCGGAAGCCACACCGGATGCTCAGCTTCCCAAAAAACTTTGAAAACCAAAACACTCACTTCCGGTTTTCGGTCGTGTGGGAGCTGGAACATTTGACTCCCAAGGCATTGTATGCTCAAGCCGTCTTGACCCAGTGAGCAACCTTGCCACCGAATTTTGCACCAGCTGAAGCTTCCGAACCATATTGAGGCAGCTGGGTAAGACAAACTCCACCCTCCTCAGCCCCCCACGTTCCAGTGATACAGACCAGCTCAACCTCCTCATCTACATGGATCATGGATGAGGGAGGCCTTACTCTGAGCCAATTTAGCACTCGGCATTCAGCAGCTGCTTGGGACGCGGGTGGCGCTGTGGGTTAAACCACAGAGCCTAGGACTTGCCGATCAGAAGGTTGGCGGTTCGAATCCCCGCCACGGGGTGAGCTCCCGTTGCTCAGTCCCGGCTCCTGCCCACCTAGCAGTTCGAAAGCACATCAGAGTGAAAGTAGATAAATAGATACCACTCCGGTGGGAAGGTAAACGGCATTTCCGTGCGCTGCTCTGGTTCGCCAGAAGTGGCTTAGTCATGCTGGCCACATGACCCAGAAGCTGTACGCCGGATCCCTCGGCCAATAAAGCGAGATGAGCACCGCAACCCCAGAGTTGGCCACGAATGGACCTAACGGTCAGGGGTCCCTTTACCTTTACCTTTATTCAACAGCTGCAGACCTGAGGGTTGGTTGATAGGACAACTGCAATTCCCCATGTTGAGGTGAGCATGTTCCAGAGGTCAAGCTTTTTCTCAGCCTAGATCCCAGGATGTACTAACTGCTGGGGGCAGCTCTGCAGGTCAGATGCTCAGCATCTGGGCTGCAAAGGAAATCCGCCCTTGGGTCTTTGCCGCTGGTTGCCCAGGTTCATTGTGTGGAAACTCAGTCTCTAGTTATCACTGCTTGGCAACAACTGCCCTCCCTCCATCTTTGGGGAGGTTGCTCTGATCATCTTCACTCTCCAGGATAAACACCAGCACCCCCTGAGTCCAGTTCTTGGAGTTGCCTGCCTCTGCAGCCTGTCCAAAGCCCGCCTTTTCCTGCTGCCCCTCCCCACATCAGAAAAGCAAGCACCCCACCCCTCACCCCGCATAGCAGGGCAGTGTAAAGGGGTCCTTGGGCCTGGTATGAATTGTGAGGGGAGAGGCAAGTGCTCTTTATTTCAAAGGTGGCACCTAATGCATGCCTGCAGCCGGGCGACTTCCAGTTTGAAGTGGTGCCAGCATCACAGTGCCCTCTTCTCTGACCCTTGGCCATGCTGGCAAGGGCTGGCGGGTGATGGAGCCCAACAACCGCTGGAAGGCACCATGCTTGTTCGTTTATAATAATAATAAAAAATTATAGATCACTGCATCATTAAAAACATGCATCACAGCAGTTTACAAGAATAAAACATAAAAGCTGTGGGAGTCATAGAGCCACGGCACAGGCTTGTATTGCTGCATGGTGCCTGCTGATCTCGGTGACCAGCATGTCTGTGCCTTGTAATGTATAGAATGTATTGACCTTATATGGAGTTGTGTTCCCCCTCTGGGCAGTGATTACCTTATATGGCGATGGGTGTTGTAAAGCCATGATTGGGCATGTAACGTGAGACATTGGCAGACGGCCATGCAGGCTGAGAGAGAAATGTTGTATGTTTATTCCTGATAATAATGTCAGCATATCTGCGACAATTGACCATATGGAAACCATGGTAGCCCACAATCCGTTTGCCCCCCCTCCTTCCGTTGATCCATGGGCATGGTTATATTCTTGGCTTCCGGATGGAAGTTGGCTTCGACATTTATTGATTTTAGTGATCCTTATAGTAGTTATTTGTGTTATTTTGTGTTGCTGTATACAATGTATTCCTTCTTTAATTTCTATATGTACTGCATGGTTCTCCCGTCAGCGGCCTGCTTCCAGCCTCACAAGAGTCGCTTATCGCGCTCGATATAACCGTATTGGTACTGACATATATGACTCTGATTAATAAAATAAAGAAAGAGGGCATGTGGGAGTCATAAAGCCACGGCAGAGGCTTGTATTGCTGCATGGTGCCTGCTGATCTCGGTGACCAGCATGTCTGTGCCTTGTAATGTATAGAATGTATTGACCTTATATGGAGTTGTGTTCCCCCTCTGGGCAGTGATTACCTTATATGGCGATGGGTGTTGTAAAGCCATGATTGGGCATGTAACGTGAGACATTGGCAGACGGCCATGCAGGCTGAGAGAGAGACAAAGGATAATAAAAAAGTTACCGGAGAGAGAGAGAAGTCGAAGGAGCTGCTCCTCCATCCTGAAAATATTGCTGTCTCACTGTGTCCTTTTTTCAAATGCTAAGCAGCACCATTTGTGATGGCGGGCTTCCGTCAAAAAGCTGTACAATAAAAACCATGGAAGAGGTAGAAACAGCCATCCATTAACCACTGCGGATGGATGTATTGTTAATTGCCTGCCCAGACCTTGTGGAATAGAGATATATTCAGCAGAAGTTTATTTTATTATTAATTTTTATTAATTTATTTAACATAATTACAACATATAAACAAAATATTGCAAATACATACATACATACATATACATTTGAGATAAGCACACATATACAAAAAAAGAACAAAAGAGAAAAAGGAAGAAAAGAAGAAAGAAAAAGAAAAAATAAAGAGAAGGAGAAGAAGAAAAGTTGGAAGAATTTCTTCCAAATTTATTCTACAAATATCTCAATAATAAAACTTCATTGATTGACCTCCATCGCTTACACTGCATTTCCTATATACATTTTAAGCAAGATTGTATCCAGCAGAAGTAACAAAGTTGGCACAGAATCTCCAGTGGCAGAGTGTTCCACAGGAATGAGCTGATGACACTCCTCTTGCCCACCCTCCCTGGCAACCAT